CATCTGCTGGCTTTGTGAGCGATCTCAGGAGCACCGTGGTCACCAAACAGCTCTCATTGAAGAGGTGGCCAATAAGTACAAGGTAGGAAGTGGGAGGGTGTGGGACACAGAGCAGGACACAGTAACAGATGGGAAGTCTCCACTTTGTGTAGATTTTTTTTAATGTTCATGTCAGGTTCATTCATACAATCTAAAATTCAGTCTAGTAACTCTCAACAGTGGGACTAGTAAATGAATGTCATATGGCAGTGAGGAGAGTGTCTGTGTGGCCTGTGTAGTGTCACATGACTCAATTCCAGAACTCTGACTGCTGATGAATTTGAGGGTATAGAGGTCTACAGAGGAGTTCCAGGACAGCCAGGGCTACATAATAAGATTCAGCTTCAAAAATAATTTGCAGTGCCAGTTGTGGTACTTGTGATGTTGATATGTTTATAGAAAGACCAGGAGAGCTAACAAAATTTCCCCAGTTTTCTGATGCCAGAATCAAAGTGACCGGTGTGTACTTGGTGGGATGATTGACTGAGAGAGATTTCTGTGTCTGTCTGTATGGTCTGTGTGTGTATAAATGCAGGAATGAATTGAGCCGGAGACTGAAGATTTACCTACTTTATGTGCATAAATCATGGCACATGATATTAAAAAGAGAACAGTCTTAGACTTCCTGTCTTTCCAGAAGGGTTTCTAGGCCTTTGGCTAGAAGCAGCTGTCATACTAAGCACACCTCTTGACTCTGCTACAATTCCTCTCCCACAGGGGAAGCTCCAGGCTGCCCTGGAGATGCAGATGGCTAATGAGAAAAGATGTGACCAGTGGGAAGACAACATTCAAAAGGAGAGAANATGGGTTAGATCAATATGTAAGAACTAGCCAATAAGAGGCTGGAACTAATGGGCCAGGCAGTGTTTAAAAGAATACAGTTTCCGTGTAATTATTTCGGGTATAAAGATAGCCGTGCGGGTGGCCGGGTGCAGGGGACACAGCCCGCCGCTCCTATTACAACACAGTGGTGGCACAGAACTGGTGGCAGTAGCCAACCAAGGTCGGATTTGACTTAAGGCCTGCACCAAGGGAATGAACCCATACCAGACATTGTGTGGGCGACCAAGAACCAGAGATTACATAGGCCAGAAACCTAGGGTAAATTCAAACACTACTAGACAAAAAAAAAAAAAAAAAAAAAAAAAAAAAAAAACAAACTCACAAACAAAAAACAAGTGAACAACGTTTCATTATGCTTTCAATTGTGTATTTGTAGGCCTACCTAAGCGTATTGGCATTTGAAAGGATGGTTGGGGTGGTCACAACTGGTGGATTCCTGAATTTACAGGCAGCTATGAGCTACTTCATGTGAGTGCCAGGAACTGATCTAGGATCTTCTACAGAGTAATAAACACTCTTTTTTTTTTTCAATTTTCGAGACAGGGATTCTCCAGAACCAAAAGTCCAGGAACTAGCTCTTCTAGACCAGGCTGGCCTCGAACTCACAAAGATCCGCCTGCCTCTGCCTCCCGAGTGCTGGGATTAAAGGCGTGCGCCACCACCGCCTGGCAATAAACACTCTTAAACAATAGGAAAAATTGTTGCCTATGTGCATCAGGAGATGGACTGTGTACACTCCAAGTCAGCACCAGGCTCTCTAGTAAGAGACTGGTAAGGAGAGGATCAGAGTCTCACACTGACTGTTACTGATGAAGGAAGAAGATGAAGTACAGCAGGGAAGACATGAGTAGTTTGATGCTTGTAACAAGGAAGATGTGATTTTGTCCTGGGAAAGAAAAGGAAAGGTAGAAGGTTGGACCCACAAGGCCATAGGGAGGAACCACGATCTTCCTGATCTTCAGTAAAAGGAAACAACAATCCTATTTCTGACCTTTATCATTTGTGATGAAGTATAATAGAAACATAGTAGAAAGTGTGACAACATGCTCCTTTTGCCATGTCATTGAACTTTTCTCCGTATTTCTCTCCTTTGTACTTTTCCCTTATCATCGAGGGCATTCATTGATCTCTTCACCGTTCAGTACTGATTTTCCCTTTCTCACTTGTCCCCTTCTCATCATCCTAGTCACACAGGTACCTGAGCAGAAGTGTCAGGAGTGTGGAAAGACAAACTCAGCATCACAGCAACAATGTCCTCATCAGTACTGGGGATGGTCAAGGAGGAGGTGACCTGTCCTATCTGTCTAGAGCTTCTGAAAGACCCTGTGAGTGCTGATTGTGACCACATCTTCTGCCGAGCCTGCATCACTCTGAACTATGAATCCAGAAAAGGCAAAGAAGGGGAGGGCATCTGCCCTGTGTGCCGAGTTAGTTACCTGTTTGGGAATCTGAGGCCTAATCGGCATGTGGCCAACATAGTGGAGAGGCTCAAGGAGTTCAAGTCCAGCCCAGAGGAGGAGCAGAAGGTGAATGTCTGTGCAAAGCATGGAGAGAAACTCCAGCTCTTCTGTGAGAAGGACATGATGGCCATCTGCTGGCTTTGTGAGCGATCTCAGGAGCACCGTGGTCACCAAACAGCTCTCATTGAAGAGGTGGCCAATAAGTACAAGGTAGGAAGTGGGAGGGTGTGGGACACAGAGCAGGACACAGTAACAGATGGGAAGTCTCCACTTTGTGTAGATTTTTTTTAATGTTCATGTCAGGTTCATTCATACAATCTAAAATTCAGTCTAGTAACTCTCAACAGTGGGACTAGTAAATGAATGTCATATGGCAGTGAGGAGAGTGTCTGTGTGGCCTGTGTAGTGTCACATGACTCAATTCCAGAACTCTGACTGCTGATGAATTTGAGGGTATAGAGGTCTACAGAGGAGTTCCAGGACAGCCAGGGCTACATAATAAGATTCAGCTTCAAAAATAATTTGCAGTGCCAGTTGTGGTACTTGTGATGTTGATATGTTTATAGAAAGACCAGGAGAGCTAACAAAATTTCCCCAGTTTTCTGATGCCAGAATCAAAGTGACCGGTGTGTACTTGGTGGGATGATTGACTGAGAGAGATTTCTGTGTCTGTCTGTATGGTCTGTGTGTGTATAAATGCAGGAATGAATTGAGCCGGAGACTGAAGATTTACCTACTTTATGTGCATAAATCATGGCACATGATATTAAAAAGAGAACAGTCTTAGACTTCCTGTCTTTCCAGAAGGGTTTCTAGGCCTTTGGCTAGAAGCAGCTGTCATACTAAGCACACCTCTTGACTCTGCTACAATTCCTCTCCCACAGGGGAAGCTCCAGGCTGCCCTGGAGATGCAGATGGCTAATGAGAAAAGATGTGACCAGTGGGAAGACAACATTCAAAAGGAGAGAACTACCTGGGAGGCAAGTGGGGACCCTACCTCCTAAGGGAGTTAGCCTGATGCCTAGAAGGGACCTGGACAAGAAGCTCCCTGGCTCGTCATTCCCTGGAGGCTGATGGGGACATGAGGCCTTGATTGGTCCTCTCTGC